TCCTTCCAATATACCCCTACAATCAAAAGTATTACTACTTATGTATATATGAATGTAGCTAAGATCATCTCAAAATTTCAATACACCATTTAAAAATCTAAAATTTCATATTTACAATTAATATTCATAAAACAAATTTAAAATTCACAATATACAATAACATATATTGCATTTAAAATCATATCAATTCAAAACATCTTTTATAGCAGCTGGTTTTCATAAAAACACACAAAATTACATCACCACATTTAACAAAAACACACAATAATGCCAATAATTATATTTTGATAATAAAATCTTATTAAAAAACACTTCAAAATAATTTTCAAAGTTTAAATTCAAAGTTCCAGCAGAAAATTTGAATACCCTGTCCAACGGGCAGGAAACCACCACTGTTAGGCACTCACTGGTTCAAATGTAAACATTAATCCGTCTGGTTAGGCTTAAATGCCTGCAGTAATAAAAATGGTCCTAATACATTAGATATAGCGTGAAGATGCACAATAAGGATTAAATTCAAAACCGGATAAAGAATTAACACAAATAATTATATTTTAGCGCATAAATACAGTGAATAAATTGTAAATCACAAGCACACCGGTCTCCGAACGTCAAAAAATCGCGTCCATGTAGGCTTCTCTCACTTGAAGATTTAAGATGATCACCAATCCTTAAATTTGGCGTGTAAAATCAAACCAATCACTGAAATAAGTATACGAACGAAGAAAGAACACAAATCAATCACACTTTTGCACTTTCACAAACAAATCACGCAAAAATAAGCAAAATAATGCAGTTGACCGAAACGCACACAGTAAATGGCGCAAGCCAATTATTTAGTTTTGATTTAGCATTTTTGTTTGTTGTTTGGGGGTGGCTGGATTACTGGCTGCCCTCGTTTGTGGAGATACGGGGCCCCTTCTTTTGAGCTATGGGGACACTTGTGTCCAGGTCGGCTGAAGGGAGCCTCCAATTCTTACTTTGTTGTCATTTTATTAAAAAAAAAATGCGTTTTATTATGCATAAATTCCGTGTTTTTAATATAATTTACGGCTTTTAAATATTAAAAATGAATTTAATTTTGTATTTTTATTTGAAATAAAAATTTTATTGTTTATGATATTTTATATAATCTTATGTTGTGGATGATGTAATCAATAACGTCACCTTACTTTAAAAGTTATAGGTTTTAATATCTATAAATTTATTATTATCTAATATCTATATTATTTAATATCTATAAATTTATTATAATCTATAAATTTATTATTTATTTTATGTCTGTTAAATATTGAAATACAATTTAATTAGTCCAAAGGGGCTTTGTCCCTGAAGGACTATTGTTTTCGTTTTGCGATTTTGCGCCGGACTCCTATAAACGTCGGTTCACTTTTCAAACTGTTGCCACAAAATGTTAGAGTCCTGCATTATATTTGAAGAAATTAAATAATGAAAAATCTGCATAAATGATTGTCTATTTCTCGCATTGTGATAAAACAATGGTACATAGAGCCATCGAATTTTGAATGACGAAATCCTACTGCGAATATGGGCATCTGAAATCCCAAATTTGGAATTTGTTTTATTATAGATTTTATATTTTGTAAAACTTTAACGAATTTTTGATTTACAAACTCAATGCTTTAAAAGCGAGAAATGGCAACGTTATATAGGAAAAAAATACTTTTATCTCCAGCTCGCGAGACTGTGTATATCCGAAATTCTAAAGTTATGCTTAATTTAACATTATTTTGCGATATTGCTCTTGAACTGAATTTTATGGTTTAAGTGCAAAGAAACATGATATTTAATAATAAAGGTAACACTCAAAACGTTAAAAAACGCCCCTTTGGACGTAATTTAAAATCTGAAAAATTTCAGATTTTTTTTTTTTTTTTTTTTTTTTTTTTTTTTTAATGATTTTATTATGTATGATTATATAAATAATTTTAACTCTATGCGTGATGTAATCAGATCCCTGATTGGTTACTGAATATTTGTGCATTACCGCGCCATTTTTAAATTTTATTATTAATCTCTTCAAGTTCCTTAGAGCTCATAGCGAACGGATATGTCCTTTTCAAAGATTAATGTTGTTATTGATAAGTACCAAGAATTATTGGTATCGGAATCAAAATTTGTCCTTTGAGACGTTATTTTGGCCAACCTGGCTTTCCTAATCAAAGATTTATTTATAAATTGTTACAAGGGTCAGAGAAAATTTATTTAATTTTTTTTGAAGGAAACCTCGCTAATTGCTTCTTCAATGAAATGTGGGAAATGTGGATCATAGATGAAGATCGTTTAAGGAGCCGATTCTGAGGACGGCCGTATATGGTGTTACGGTGGAAGAAATAACCGCTGTAACGCGTAAAAAAAGAATTAGACATTCTTCCTTTTTTACCGGCAGTAAACTTCTAATTGCTGTCATTTTAACTCTAGTGTACGAAGTGTTCTTATTTACTTATTTTAAAGATTTGAAGTTAAGAATATTTTAATTCAGTGAATCTTCGGATTATAGTAACTTGGCTATTTTTTGGCGACCAACTCTACTATAGCAACCTGCTAGTTTTTTTTTTTTTTTTTTTTTTTTTTTTTTTTTTTTTTTTTTTTTTTTTTTTTTTTTTTTTTTTTTTTTTCCCGCCATTTTGTTTTCAAGAAGGAAAGGCATGTTTTATTTTATTTTATTTATTTATTTATTTATTTTTACTCAACATTTTTTCCAACAATCTGCTAGCCGAATTACGCTTATGCTAGAACTTTTATGGAACAGAAGTGCTTAATCATGACGAAGATTAGGTGCGAAATTGGGAGAAAGTGCAGAATCGCCCACTGTTTCACGCGTTTTTACGAATTGCACATACGCGGTATCCATGTACACGTCGACCTATTTTCACTTAAAAAAACATCCCAGAATTGCACAAAAATGGCATTGCGCACACTCTTGACTTTATCCATGTACTCATCGACCTATTTTCACTTAAAAGTCAAAGAAAATTGACAAAAATCCAATTCTTCTTACTCTTCTAAACAAATAAGTGGGCGATTCTGCACTTTAGCAGCGAAATTGTTTAAGTGATTATTAGCTAAAATCACGATCGGAATTTTCCGGAAAATGTCACATGACAAGTCTCATGATCACTCATTTCTCTGAGACAAAATAATCTGTGATTCGAACTGTGTACTTCTCAGATTATTGCTAAAGTCCTACCTAGTAACCTTTATCGCCTTACCAAAATGTCGCCAAACTACCTGTTACGATATTCCAAAGATTAGCCTTTAATTCTTTTAAACGTTGGTATGATGGTTTTTAATTCGATATTCAATTTAAGTAATATTTTAATCCAATTAAAGTTGGCGCAATGTTTTTATAGCCGTGTTTTTATTCTATTTCTTTGCTAGGTGAGAGTAATAATTTAACCTTACTTTAGTATTTTATACTCGTAGTAAATGTATTTTTTACATTTGCCTGCCATCTTAAAAAAAAAACGTTTTCAACAAAAATTTAATCCATTATTTTTAACTATATTTATGTTTTTAAAGTGTCGAATACGTTTTACTATGCGTAAAATACGTACAAACAGCGTTTTTCAAGATGGCGGACGATTGTAAAAACCGCGCCAACAATAGCACCAAAGTAAATCGCCAAAAATCCGTGCATCCATCTGCCAAAGTAGCACCCTAAATTAGTAACGTCTTAAACATCGCCAAAACTTTATGTAGTGCCCAATTTAAAAGGAAGTACCTTTTAAAGGATTACAGATTAGATACTCTTTTTGGTACTTTTTCGTTTTGCCGGCGCAGGCGATAAAGTCGCCAATAATGGTACAACTGATGCCAAACGGAATATCCTCGCTGGTAGCTTTTTAAGCCTCATTTTCAAAATAAGTCGCAGCCCACCAGCGGCCGAGCGGTAAAGTCGCTGAACACTGGTAGTTCGGTCCGAGGTTCGAATCCCGCGAACGGGCTGGCTGCATGGGCGTTTTCGTGGTTTTCCCCATGTGTAACGTGTATACGAGCCAGTTTCCCTTAGAAAGTCCTCCACGAAAGGCATCCCTCCCCTTAGGCAGATAGCCCTCGTGTGCTTTGCCATATTTAAATACATACATACATACAAAATAAGTCGCAGCCATTTCTTATCAGATTCATTGACTTTCTTTCAATACTGGCATACAGTTACATAGAATATTTATCACATAGTACAATTTTATGCCCTAAGGCCATTCGCGATAATTAAGTCAATTAGAATGCAATCACACCGCTCACCTGAAGGCAAAAATATAGGAAAGGCAAAGTCAAGGATTAAATTCATCCATTCTAATGAGAATACGCTAGCAAAGTAAAGCACTCTGGTTTTACATAATTTCTGAGTAAGCTATTCGTATGAACTTGTAAAATAATTCTTGCATTTTAAACTTGTATTCCAAATTAAGATTTAACTTGAAATTAATGTAGAGAATTAGATTTTTTTAGTGTAGTTTACGTGAGATGAGATCACTTGGGGTTACGTGAATCAGGATGTTGTACCATGAAAGCATAGTAAATTCTTAAATTAATGACTTTTTACAAATTTATTATCTTTATTCATTGGCTTTTTATAAAATTTAAACGATATTAAAATGCTTATGCTCTCAAAATAAAAAATTCTTAGAACCAACATTTGATAACATTTTATATGTGTATGCTCTGTGTTGTCGCCAATAAAGTCTGCTTGGTGAGATTTGCGCCGGCGAAACGGAAAAGTACCCTCTTTTTTATTAAACTAGTCATAGCGCTTAGTCGCTAGAACAAGCATAATCTCCCGGTCTATATTTAAATCTCACATGTTGCCAAAGATTTATGCAATCGGCCCTTTTATCAAGAAAGCAACCCCTTACATTAATAAACATACTGTCTTTACTTTATTCTGTTTTAATTTCTTAAAATTTTGTAGCACTACCAGAAAAGCGATAGAATCTTATTATAACTTACAATATCTTTAAATAAAATAAAATATTTACTTGTATCCTTTGCTACCGCAACATCTGTTCTTGACTTGCATAAGGTCTATTTCAGTCTTTTTGTTTTTATCCGTGTCATATTGTTCCATCAACTCTTTTAAGCCTTTTTCGAATCCTTTGGTTAAATCGTGGATAGCAGAAGACAAAACAATACTTAAGGCAATTATAAGAAAAAATGCCACAAACAGAAGAATTAAGTAAATTTTCATAAAATGTTGAACTCGATGTCTAGTCTTAAAACTTCCACAGTCAAAACACACTTTTGCACCAACAAGATGGAAAGCTATCAAAGCCAATCCCAAAAACACAACAAAATGAGAAATTTTCGTGTAATTGAAGGCTTTTAACATATCTCGTTGTTGGTTGAATAAAAATGCTATAACTGAACCAGTTATTACTAACAATAAACCCATCATAGCGATGCTGAGGTTCAACAGCAAAAGTGTGATACCAAGGCAGCCGCGTCCACTTTCCCTTATTTTAACAGCGCAAACAACCATGGTTATTTCACTATGAAGAATAAATAGTTAGTTTAGACGAAAACACAGACAAAGAGATCAACAAAATTTCCTTTTTAAAATGTTTCACACATGTTAAACACTTTCTTGTTACTGGTAAAGTTCTCACGATGATATTCGTACTGAATGCTACGTGCAAATAAAACCAAGCATGTGCTGTAGCTCGCGATTCGCTGCGTGCTATATATATATATATATATATATATATTTTTTTTTTAATGGCAGATTGTGAACAGTTACAAGTTTAACAACAGTTACAATTTGTAACAGAGTCTATTAATCTATACTAAGGCCAGATGTGGTGGTCTCTTTATCATGGAAGCACCTAATAAGGGCCACAATTGCCTCCTATGAAGGGACGGACAATCACAACCATGCCTTCTCCGGAATTTGAATGCAGGCCTTTCGGTATCGCAGTCAGGCTCCCCTAACAACTCTACCGTCACGTGTTATAAATAATTTTAATGAAATCTCAAGGTAAGCTACGTCTGAAGAAAATCATTTCCCATCATCATATGTAGAAAGTTATAAGGCAGAATGCAAAACTTTATTTCGTCAGTTAAAAAAAAGAAATTCTATTCGAGAAAATGTAATACTTAATTTCGTTCTTCTAATTTGCTTATATTGTGGAGAAGTCGTCATTGTGCAGTTTCAGCTGTACAGATCTTTCTATAATTTGTGACACAAAGGTAACGAAAATTATCGGAGAGAAGGATTAAGAGAAAAAGAAACAAAAAACGGTTTTAATCCTTCTAGACATTTTTAGTGCAAAGAGGCTTTGTCCCTAAAGGACTATTGTTTTCGTTTTGCGATTTTGCGTTGGTTCACTATAATGTCCGTCCTATAATAAATGTCCGTTTCACTTTTCAAACTGTTGTCACCAAATGTTATATTCCTGCATTATATTTGAAAAAATGAAATAATGAAAAATCTGCATAAATATATGTGTATTTCTCGCATTGTGATAATGCAACGGTACATAGAGGCATCGAATTTTGAATGACGTAATCCTACTGCGAATATGGGCATGTGGAAGCCCAAATTTGAAATTTCTTTTATTATCGATTTCATATTTTATAAACTTTAATGAATGTTTGATTAACAAACTCAAGGATTTCAAAGCGAACAATGGCAACGTTGTACAGAAAAAACATTTTTATCTCCAGCGCGCGAGACTCTGTATCGGAAATTCTAAAGATATGCTCAATTTAAAACTATTTTGCGATATTGCTCTTGAACTGAATTTTATGATTTAAGTGCGAAGAATGTGATATTTAATAAAGGTAACAGACAAAATGTTAAAAATACGCCCCTGGACGTAATTTAAAATAAAATTTTTGGATTTAAAAAAAATATTTTAAATAAAATTTAATTTAAATTTTTGGATGTAATTTAAAATCTGAAAGCTTTCAGATTTTTTTATTTATTTATTTATATATTTTTTATATTTTTATTTACATATTTTCTTATCGATACACTTTTATTCTTTTTTAAAATTTGGATGGATTCCCATCCATTCCATTCAAGACGCTGCTCAAAGTATTACTCCTATAGCTCCTGGTAGTAATAAAAACGAAAAATTGGAAAAGATATTATCCAGAAAGTGCAGCAATAAATGCTAACATTTCCAAGGATGATCTGCAAAGGATGTGGTGTGTACATTCAGAAAATGCCGAAGCGGGCTCTTAGTTCTTTCTCCATGATAAGGTTCGCCTTGCTACATTTGTCCTTCGTAGTGGAATAGTTTAAGGCCTGTAGAAGATCTGTAGCTATCGATCATCCATCCACTGTACTACCTGTTCTTGCTGCAGAAGACTTCTTTATGTATCTCTCTTAATAACGACTAATTGAAAATGTGTATAACGAAATATAGATGAAGTATGTACGAATCTTAAAAATATAGAAATTTTATTTCATTGGCAAGTAAAAGCCATTCACCAAAGTCGAGTTATATGACTTAGCACAAAAACGGAGGCATTTGTACATTAAAAAAATAGTTTGCTTACCACCCAGACGGTATAGTGGTTAGGGGAACCTACTGCGGTACCAAAGAAGCAGTATTCGAATCCCGGAGACAGCATGGGTACACTCTACATACGAGGGCCATCCAGGAAGTAGATTACGTTTCCGTCTGTGTCCGCTAGGGGCGGGGCTAGCGCGGCCATCTTGGGGTCAGAGCGTTGCGCAGCTCAGTCTGCATCTAGCCGTGCTAATGAGAGGTTCGTGCTGTGCTCCGTTCAGATACTGTGACGGTTTGAAATGTCTGCGTTAATTGAAAATCCCGCGAGCTGCGAGGTGCGCTCAGTAATAAGGTTTCTGACTGCAAAAAACTGTAAACCGATAGAAATCTATCGGCAGCTTCGTGAAGTGTATGGGGACAAAACATTATCACTGAAGGTGGAGTACGTCAGTGGGTCATAAGATTTCAAAATGGCCGAACCAATGTTCACGACGAAGATCGAAGTGGGAGACCCAGCATAGTGACCGCCGAACTTTCTCGAAAAAGTCGATGCTAAAGTCCGTGAAAAATCGAAATTTCACAATAACGGAACTTTCTTTGAGTTTTCCACAAATTTCGCGAAGTTTGTTGCACGAAATCATCAGCGAAAAGCTTGGTTACCACAAGTTTTGTGCAAGATGGATTCCAAAAATCTTGACAGAGGACCACAAAAATCAGCGAATGGCTGCAGCGTTGAACTTTTTGGACGCTTACCATAAGGATGGTGACTCTTTACTTACTCGATCGCATCGTTACTGGTGACGAAACATGGGTGAAACATGTGAACTGTGAAACGAAATTGCAATCAATGCAGTGGGGGCACACAAGTTCTCCCCAAAAAACCCAAGAAATGCATGCAAACAATGTCGGCAAGGAAGATGATGGCGACTGTTTTTTGGGGACAGAAAAGGTGTAATTTTGGTGGACTTCCTGGAAAGAGGCACTACAATAAACTCTCAAAGGTATTGCCAAACTCTCCAAAAACTCAGAAGAGCAATTCAAAACAAGCGCAAAGGAATGTTTGAGCTCTAAGATCTTGTTGATTCACGACAACGCCCGGCCCCACACGGCAAATGTCACTCGTAAAGTTCTTGAATCTTTTAAGTGGGAGTTGTTTCCTCATCCGCCGTACAGTCCCGACCTGGCACCGAGCGACTTCCACCTATTCCCAGCAATGAAGAAGTGGCTGGCTATGCAGCGTTTTTGATGACGACGCACAGCTGCAAGAAGAGGTAACGAAGTGGTTGAAGGCGCAGGCGGCCGAATTTTTCGACGAAGGAATTTCCAAGCTCGTACATCGCTACGATAAATGCCTTAATTTGTATGGTGACTATGTAGAAAAGTAGTATTTGAGTGTGGCTTTCATCTGTATATAATAAAATTTGTTTCCTATACTTTGTTTATTTTTTTATTCCAAAACGTAATCTACTTTCTGGATAGCCCTCGTATAATCCTCTCGAGATGCTGGTGGTAGGGAAAGAGAGGTGGAGACACTTCCCTTGGAGGGGTGGAGGCTCTCCATCAAAATTGGAGACGGAACTGAGCGAACTCTTGGCAACAAGCGTAATCTTGCACTCCTTGCCACAATGAATTTCGTGGGATTATTCTGATATTGCTGTCAGACAAGTGACATGAGTCCACAATAAAATAGTTTGCTTAGCTGAAAAGTGCATCTGACGCCATAACGTGCCATGTGTTCAGCAATAAACTTCACACGGCAACTGAATGTGTAGAATATTCCTTACATGGTACTTGAGCATTAATTATGAACTGGCAATCGGAATCTATTTCTACCTGTTGTAACAGCTAGAAATTCTTAGTGACGGTTTGACTGTAACCCAGATATTTGACTTATAACACCACCATATTATGTACTTTTAAAAATATGCAAATTTAGGGTACAACTGTATTTCCAATATGAATAATTGCAAATGGATGTATTTTAAACCATCGAATTTAATTACATACATATACTTTCATTTCTGATGGGCAACTAAAGGCACAAAATTGTTGTAAATTCACTTCATTATGCAATATAAGCGTAAGTTTAGATAGTTCTATATTTCTTAAGACGCCATTGAAATACTAGTTTTATTTTGAAATCCTTTTTTGTAACAATTTGGGAATTGCCCACGACGAAAGGTCTGCAATAAAGTTTTTTCAAAGAAAAGGCATCATTCATTATAGAAATTCATTATTTCATCTCGTTGAACAACCAACGAGATGAAAATATGCTTTAGCGATAACTCTGTAGCGAAATAGCGATGCAGGAATCTATTCAGTTATGTTTAGCCTTTTCTATATAAATTATAATAATGATCTGAAATATTTATTTACTCTTACGCTTTCATTCAGTTATATTTAGCCCTTTTTATATAAATTATAATAATAAAAATGTATTATATGAAATTAACCTTTCATCTAAATTAAAATAATCTCAAATAGTTATTTACTATTATACTTCCTTTCTTGCGTAGGGTTGCCGCAATTATTTTTGGCAGCACTATCATCAATGACGATTTTGGCGTGTTTTTTTTTTTTTTTTTTTTTTTTTTTTGTCCTCAAAACGGAATAGTACCGAAATTTATTATTTACATTGCTAAATAATTGAAGTACATAAAGCTACTTTGTGTACATAATTACTGCAAAAAGGCAATATAATTTCAAAATATCTTACTTATAACTATTTGAATTATTTTGTGATAACAATCTACCTTCCAAGAAACATTCATTGTACAAACAAAAGAAAATTTGATTTAAAGTCAGGCTGCAGAGCTGATCAATAACCATCAAAAATAAGATCAATGACTTATTTCTCGCTTTTTATTAAATTTCTTCAACATTGATTGAGAGAACGTTTCTTTGTTCCAAAGAACAGTTGGATTAGTTTTCATTTTATTGAGAATCACTGATGCTGCAGCACACAGATTTCTTTCCAACCAATATCAGAAGTTGAGTTAACTTACGACAGCACAACATTAATGTTGAAATTTTATGAGAATATCCTAGATCAATTGTGGTTAAATATAAAAGTGAAATTATGAGAAAATGATCAGAA